CATATATATATTTAGAATTCAGATTCACTTAAAAATTTAAGCCTACGAGTAAAATAAACAGTGTTTTATAACTAAATTCAACATTTAAAATTGAAGACATTCAATACTTTTTCAATTAACTATATAGGATAACCAAAACTCACATCATTAAAAATTTTAAGTATCTCTTAAAAATAGACTAAAATTTTAAATAGCAAGCTACTTATTTATACTTAATGTTGAAAATGCTAGTCAACAAAAATTTTATAAACTTTTTGTAATTGATAAGTCTACTCTCAAATAATTTGATCTCAATCATTTTACACAACAAATTTTCAACATCCACCATCCCACCACCACCATCATTGTCGCTGCCACCATCACCAACACCACTATTACCGCCAACATATTATTACTATCCTACCATAACCACTATTTCATCACTGTCAGCGTCCACTATCACCATTGTTACTGTTGTCATCACTATCACTATTGCCACTGTTATCCTGTTATCACCACTATCACCTATGCCCCTTTCATCTACCATGACTGTCAATTCGACCATATCTAGCACCGCCCCACTACCACCCTAATACAACTATTGTTGCCACAATGTCACTAGTACCACCATTCACATTGCCACCGTTGACACCACCATTTTCTTCGTTGTCACATTTATTATCATTATCATCATTGTTGCTTTGTCACAACCACCATTATTGTTACCCTACCACCACCATCACCATGTATCTTCACCCCCCCCCCCCCAAACACCACAAATACCATCATAACTCCATCATATCAGCCACCACTCACCACCACTATCTATCTTTACCCCTACCCCCACCATTATTACTCCATCATATGTGTCACAACTCACCACTATTGTCATCGTATCACCGCCACAATCTATTTTCGCCCCTGCTCCCCCCTCCCCCCAAAAACAAAAAATCACCATCATCATTCCACTATATTTGTCACCAACCTTACTATCTTGACCTTTACAAAAAAAAAAGTGATAAATTTATTCCTTGTTGAGATGAAATTATAATCTTTTGAGATGAGATTTCAATCTTTTAAGTTAAAGTTATCACCTTTAGAGTTGATATTATAATGATTTAAAGTTAAGTTATAATTTATAGGCACAAAATTGCTACCTAGAGGTGAGATTATAATTTTTTGAGGCCAAATTTTAATTTTTAAGGTTTTTTTTTATATGAATCGATCCCAAATTTGTATGATCAATGATGGATCTTTAAGATACATACAAATAAACTTTTATAGCTGGTTAATTAGTGGGTGATATTTATGATCCGTTTGATAGAATGGATGAAAAAGAGGAATTATAGAACAATATGAGAAATAGACTTTCCATCCTTAAAGAGAGAAATTTTTTTTTTTCTCTTTCTATTTGGTAAAATGAATAAAAATTTGTAGAGATTAATTTTCTATTGTTTAGTATTAAAGAAAAAATAGAAGAAACGAAAACATATACTAACTTAATTTATAATTATACACTTGCATATGAAATAGGATTTTGATCTCTTCCTTTTTTTTGTGTCTATGCAGGTTAAATGACATGTGATAATAAATAATACTTACCAAATGTTGGATAAAAAGTAATGCAGTGTTGTGATTGATGGCCTTTATATATATATATATATATATATATTAAATAAACTTAAAATTTTAATTTGATGAATTGTTATTATTGAATAGGTAATGAATTTCAATAAATACTAAGATTCACAATTAAATTAACGATAAATATAATAGCCACATCATTAAGTCAAACTTTTAAATTAGATTTTTACATTACTCTTATGTATATTGTTTGAAAGGACAAAATAATAAAATCAGTATTTTAATCCCGGTGGGCGGAACATATTCATTTTCTATCTCACATTCCTTCCATACTTAATTTTCACTCTAACCCAACAATGAAAAATGAGTCTTTCCATCTTATTTTTCAGAATTTCATTTCCATTCACATCCACCCTATTTCCTACCATACCAAATATTCAACTTGACAACCACGCCCGGTATTGACATTTGGGCTGCAGGTACCAAACTGTTTGCCTCCGCGTAGAGGCTACTAATTCGAATCTCTCCTAATTTTTTGGAGTAATTTAGTAATTGAGTTTGATCTTTAATAACTTAAAAATTTTAAATTTAACATAAAAGGATTAGTCACCATTATTCCTTTAGGGACATATTCTAACTCAAATTAAGTCATGATAACCAAACGCTAATCTCAAAAGAATAAACAATATAAACCAAAATAATAATAATAAGGATTAATTGCACTAACGGTCCTCAAAATATGAAATTTATCTCATTTTGGTCACTAAAATTTTAATTGCATTATTTTGGTCCCCGAAGTATTGAATATATTTTTATACCCCTCATGCAGACAGTGTTTAGATTGCTAATAATTGTTTATCATAAACTTGTAACATGATACTAAAATATGGACAAAAAAAAATTTGGATAACTCTTTATCAAATTTTACTCTAATTTTGATTAAATACCTATCTAAATTACACAGTTTTGATCATAAACTTTTCAAATTTTTGTTAAAAGCTACTCATACTATACATTTTTTTTATTAAAAACTACCCAAATTTTGTTTAAGAGTTATTATAATTATTTTTTATCCATATTAAGCTATTATGTAACAAGTTTATGATAAAAAATTATTAACAATTTGGACATTGTCTGCTTACAGGACGATATAAAAATATATTCAATATTTCAAAAATCAAAATGATGTAATTAAAATATTATAGATCAAAATAAAATAAAATTTCATACTTTAAGGACCTTTAGTACTTATAATAATAATAATTCGAATCTCCTCCTACTGCTGCTGCGAATCACCGAAGGAAGGTTCGTACTCGGTACAACATTTAGAATTCAGCAACTTGCAAAATGCAGTCGCCCGACGCGGCTCAAGGCTAGTCAACACTTGGGCCCACATAGAAAACTGATGACAATGAGAATAAAACAGGGGAACTTAGGGAGCTAAATTCAATATTTATGTGGACCCCACAGGATAAAACAAAGGGTTAAATTAAACAACGACAATTAGAAAATGATACGCTTAAAGTATTTTATAATTTATTATTTTCAAAATTAATAGTCACAACTAAACTAATACAAGATTTACGACTAGGATCCATTCTATGGTATGGTATCCATATTTTTTTATGGGTACCATAGTATTAAGCTAAAACAAAAGGAAACTGAATGTCAAAAAAAAAAAGCAACTATTACCCATAATTAGATTGCATCGTTTTGGTTGTTTGCATGAGTTGGGGCGTAGAGATCTAAAATTATAATATTACTTAAATTTAATTTATTAATTTAATTTAAACATATTTAATGATTTAGTTAATAATGTGACTTAACACTAAATGGTGTTTTCTTTTTTGTCATTTGGTGACGACAAAAAATGAATTAAATCAAGAATAGAATAGCAATTTATTAACTTTATGTAGCATTTATTGGTTCTCAAAAATTTAAACAACCACAAAAAAACAGTATGGGCTGAACCAGACCAGAGTACATATTGTTGTATTTGAATTGCCAATAAAGGATTGACTGCTTATAGTACCTTATTATTTACTAACTTTTGGATTGTCTATATCACCTTTTTAATATAACTTATTAATTTTTGAGGCCATTTACTATTTTTTGAATTTACTTATTACTATTTTTAATTATAGTTCATTATTTTTTGGTTGAAACTTACTGGTTTGAGGAGGGTTCATTTTTCAATATAGTACCCAAAAATAGAATTAGATATAATAGTGTTCTATGCAAGTAAGGGACACATGGGTGGTGCTTAAACGCCGACCTACCCTCTTGGATTTAGGTTATAGGGAAACGTTACAATACTGTCATGGTATGGTATGGTATTAAAAATTATAATTTTTTTAAATCGTAAGTTATAACTTATAAAGGCATGAATTGAGATCGATACTGAAAGTTGAACCTTTCAAGATTAAGTTATAATTTATAAAAGTTAAATTACAACACATTTTATGCCTTAACTCATTAAAAAAACCGTTTACAATAACCATTTATATGTCTCATTTTGAATGACGTTTTTTAAGTCATCAAGTCAAACTATTTTATCAGTAAATATATTCATAGTTGAAAATTTTTCTCAAGTTTAAAAAAGTTATTTGAAATTAAATTTTTAATCATGAAAGCATCATTTCAAATGACGTACGTTTTCAAAAATAGAATGTGTTTGAAAAATAAGTTTACAAGTGATTATTTTTAGAAAATAAAATTTTGAAGATAATGGGTATTGTAAAAAAATCTGTTAACAGGTTATGTCATATACGAATTTCTGTCAAAAAATGGTCAATTCTAACATGTCGATTTCGAGTTATGTTTTTACGTTTTATCAAAATTTTGCCACCCCTACTTAGCAGATTAGATGTAGTTGGGTTAAAAAGTGTTTTACCTTTCCTTTCCAAGGGCAAACAAAAAGTAGAGAAACTCGTAGGGGCAGCTCAAAGATAAAAATGGACCGAAAATTTAAATATTTTGAGTTTATAATTTGATAATTCTTCTGGAATATAATTATAAAAAAAATTTCTCTCATAAATTTTCTAATTCGAACGTTAATGAAGTAAGAGATCATTTATCCGGCATTGTTCATATAAATTGCACACGTTCCACGTGAAGAAATACGTTAGGAAGTCCAAAGTGATTGAATTTGCTAAGAAGTATCCACATGACAACACAACGTGGGCAAATGTAACACAACATATTCATGTTCAACGTGGAAGTGCCCTCTACCCCACACCATGTGTCGAGCTCGAGACCCCCTTTAAGTTCTAGTCAAATCTTTCCATTGACTGTACAGTGTACTGCCTAAAAACACACTATAAAACGACCTCACTCTTTTCAGTTCCCTCCAACTTGCTCGCTTACCGAACTCACTCCTTGATCATATCTCTCCAACTTGCTCGCTTATCAGAGTACCCCAAGCCAGAAGCTTAGACATGGAGGTACCACCACAGCAGCATCAAACCAACAGAGTTGTTAAGGCTTTGCTTATTCTCCTGAACTGTAGTTTAATGGCAATTGGTCAAATTGGTGGTCCTTTGCTCGTTAGGCTCTACTTTCTTCACGGTGGAAAGAGAAAATGGCTCACTGCTTGGCTTCTCACTGCTGCTTTCCCATTGCTCATCTTCCCAATTGCCATTTCTTTCACTCGAACCCGAACCAAAGCTCAATCCACCAGACTATTTGTCACACCAAGGCTACTTCTTTCTTGTGCCTTCATTGGATTTCTTCTTGGTTTTGACAGTTACCTCTACACCTTTGGCATGTCTTATCTTCCTCTTTCAGTTTCTTCTCTTTTGAGTACATCCCAGCTCGCTTTCACTGCGTTTTTCGCGTTCATCGTTGTGAAGCACAAGTTCACGCATTACTCGGTAAATGCTGTGGTTTTGATGACCTTTGGGTCGGTTATGTTGGGGTTACACATGAATGGAGAGCTTCCTAGTGGAGAATCAGATGGGAAATATTCGTTGGGGTTCTTCATGACGCTTGCTGGTGCTGCTCTACATGGGTTCTTAATGCCAGCAGTGGAGTATACCCACTTGAAGGCTGAAGTTCCTGTCACTTTTGATTTGGTCATGCAACTTCAGTTCCTAATATCACTCTTTTCCACTCTTTTTTGCACTGTTGGGATGATCATCAACAAGGATTTTCAGGTAGGCAATACATTTTAAAGCACTTAGGAAGTTACTAGATAACTAATTATACATGTCAAGCAATATGCTACTTCTCTTGAATTGTCCCATGAAATAAAAAGACAATTCAATGCACGAGACTGTTATCATTTTGATATCAAGAATCAAATTATTAGTCGGGAAATCATGGAGAGATTAAAGAGTTTTGCTCAATAACTAAGCAGTTATTACTAGTCTTACATCCACATCACACACAGTTATCATCAGATTTTTTTTTTCTCCGCACTAAGTTACACAATAATCCTAACATAGTGAACATCATTTTTTGGTGCAGGCTATACCGCAAGAGGCTGCAGAATTCGAGCTAGGGGAGACCAAGTACTACATGATACTAATATTGGCAGCAGTGGCACTGCAATTCTCGGTTATCGGAAGTCTCGGGGTGATCTTCTGCTCAACCTCTCTCTTGGGAGGCATTGTGTCATCTCTTTTAGTTCCGGTCCAGCAGGCCGTCGCTGTAATTGTCTTGCCGGAAAGCTTCAATGCCGAAAAGGGTATGTCCTTGGCGATGTGCCTCTGGGGTTTTGCCTCCTACCTTTATGGAGAGTACAAGGTAAGTCGNTTGGCGATGTGCCTCTGGGGTTTTGCCTCCTACCTTTATGGAGAGTACAAGGTAAGTCGAAAGAAGCAGACAAGGAAACTACAGCCAGTGGAAGAAGTATGAAATACAAGTATTCTCAATATAGCTGATGGAATTCCAAGTCTAGACAACACAATTGCATTGTGGCCACTACAAAATACAAGTTGTTTGTTATTTAATGAGGCTATGTCAAATTGACATATCATTAAGTTAGAGACTCTTTTATAAGTTGATTAGATGATAGTATGGGTTTAGGTAGACCAATCTAATTTCATCTGATTGGACTTTTAAAGTAGGTTTCTATAGAAATATGATTTATTTTATCTCATATTTGTGCATATAAAATCAAATCAAATATTATTGCTTGCGATGATGGGATTGTTTTTTTTATAATAATCTCTTCTTCCAATGAAATGTCTAAGGTTATAACAGTCATTTAAATTCTTAATCCATTGGTGTCAATTTTGGTTCAATTTAAATAATTCTGATTATGAATCTCAATTCAAGTGTACAAGTCAGACCAAGATAAGACCTCAGTTTTTAACCTCACAAATTTGAGTGTGTGATCCACATAAAGTATTAATGGGACCTACCAACATTTATCTCCAATCCCGTTACTTCATGGGAAAATGACATATAAGTATTACTTTTTTTTCATAAAAATCTATGAAATCCTAGTGAAGTCCTATTCTTAATATTTTATTTTAATTAAGTTCTAAATTTTATTATATTTAGTTACTAAAACCTTTCATTCTTTTGCATTCTTAAAATCAATTAAGAGGACAAAAATTCCTTATTTACAAAATTAACATTGAATCATTAAAAAAAACTCAGATAACATAAACTTCATGGTATGACACAAAGAATACTCACATTTTCTTATTGTCTTATCTCATTAGGGTAGCTAATATTAAAACTCAAGATAATATTTATTGATTATTTAATAAAATAAGAAAGATTAAAAAAAATACATGGAGAATATTTGTTGATTAATTCTATTTTAAAGTCATTACAAATCAAACACAACAACTAAAATAAATCCTTAACTTAATCGTTTTAAATCCAATATAAATTAATATAATATAGTTTTGGTAAGAATTAGCTTAAATTAATATTAATGTAGAATCTGTAATATTCTATTAGTTAATTCTAAGAATGCAAAAGAATGAAAGAGTTTTGGTAACTAAAATGTAATGATAAAATTGAAATATAGCGAAATTATGACTTAATTGAAATAAAATATTAAAAATAAGACTTCATTTATATGAAACAAAAATGATAGGACTTAGGATGTATTTGGTAATGTTTCCATTTTTACGTTTTTTAAAAAAAAATAAAACAAATTTTTATTTTTTCTGTGATAAAAATTAAAAATATAAAACATATTTAATAGTTATTTATATTTAAAAAATTGTGAAAACCAAAATAAAAAACATATTTTGTATTATATCAAAAATCCACTATCCAACACCACCTACTCCCACCACTAACAACCACCCAACATCACATCTAACCACTGAAATCTACCACCCACCACCTCCAAATTACCTGAAACCCATCACCCCCCCCCCCCCC